TCTATTTGCAAATCTAGATAGCGTATAGCATTACCACTCTCCCAAATTTGTGCCATACGCTACACACACTGTGTTTATAAAATCATGTTGGCATTTACAGATGCCATTGTATTTGTAATTTGCATTTAGCTATCCTAAAAACTGGAAAAGGGGCATGTCCTTGAAGCAACTGATTTTCAAGATAATGAGAAAAATACATTACATAAAATGACCATACTTAAGGTATCTGTAATCCTTGGGATACAATGTATTACAGAATGGTATTCAGTCAGTGAGGCAAACAGCTTTTTGAGAGAGAACAATTTCACAGTTCAGGGATATTTTGTAAAGCTATATCAGTTAATGAGATATAGTAAAAGGACTTTCCGAGAAAAATCGTGTATCCTATCTACTGCATCAAGCCCCATTCAGCACCCCACCAAGTTAGTCCTCCCCTCTTTAACAAGTCAATGGAAAGTTCCTTTTGAAAAAAGTATGTTAAAGTTATACTTTTGAGTCTCCTCAAAGTAGTTATTTGCCATTATCATTGCAATTTTTTTTAAAAATAAAAAGCATATCTGTCCGTTTCTTTAAAGTGATGAAAATCATTACTTTTAGTTTCTTAAAGCCATGAATGCTACAAGCTCTTAGGACCATTTTTCTTCTCTCCTCTGACTTATAGCAACATTTATCAACTGAACCATGTATTCATCTTCCATCTGTAACTATTAAAGTGACTAAAATAACGGTTTTGCCATTAAAAAAGTTAACTCTTATATTATATTGTATTTATTATATTATTGATAAACCTTTATTGTCTGAAAAAGGAATTAGAAATGACCGTTTTAATCTAGTCACCTATACGGTTTGTATCATTTTGCCATTCACTGATCAAAGGTCAGAGTATGTCCCTTAGCCTTTGTTACTATAGAAATATGACTTGATAAATACAAACAACTACAACAAAGAACAAATAAAACATAAGCGTATGTGGCCAATAAAAGAAGCCAACACACTTTAACTCTCTCCTTACACCTAAGGGACATACAGTTGCATTGATAGGAGAACCTGGAAAATAAAAGTATAGAAAAAAGAGAAACACTGCAACAAAACCATAATAATATGAAGGGAAGGTTCATCAAGGCCCCTTTCACACAGCTGTATAAAATCCACATTGAACTGGATTATTTGGCAGTGTGGACTCAGATAATCCAGTTCAAAGCAGATATTGTGGATTATCTGCCTTGATATTCTGGGTTATATGGCTGTGTGGAAGGGTCCCTAGAATGCAGGAAAAGACACTGGAAATGAAAAAAAGAGAAAAAAATGAGCTTCTAGAAGAGAATTTTGGTAAAAAGTTTTGAAAGAGGTAAACTGCATTGGAATTGCTAGAGGTAAATGCCCTCATAATAAAATTCAGTTCCAACAATAGGATCATGGGGTCTTTGAAATCTAACTAAAACTGTGTGGGTGTTGCTTTTTCATGAACCAACCGCACACTGCAAGAGCCAGTTCCAAAAGCATGCAGTAGATTTGCAAAAGAATTACTATATGCACCCCCCCCCAGCATCCCAACAGAATTTGGGGACTAATTTTGGATATTTTCAGGGTTTCATGCAGTTTGTTGGACAAATGATTCCACACAGGATTAACAGGAATTCAGATGAATCATTAGCCCAAACACGTATCACGCCAGGAAAATCTGGTCTGTAGCGCTGAGTTCAGTGACCCTTTCACATTACACAAAGATTTCACCTTATCTTCCATGACATCTTATGGAATCCTGGGATTTGTAGTTAGAGGGGAATTTTGAATTATCAGCCAGAGAAGTATTCTAGTGCTTTTGACTAATTAAAAGTCTCAGTTTTCCATAGGGTGCAACTATAGAAGTTAAAACAGAATCATAATGCTATAATTGTTCAGTATGAAAGGGCCCCAGTATTAGAAAAAATACAAATCTCATACAATTGCTGGGAAACAAAACTGGGAGATTAATGTTCTACTCATGCACTTCGCGGAAACATCTGATCAGCCACTGTGAGAACAGAATTCTAGATAGGACATTGGCTTTATCCAGCATGGTTCTTGTTCTGTTCTTCTATGCCAGAATCAAACTGAATGCAGAAGCAGACTACAAATAGTTATATTTCATGCACAGCAAATAGCTATAGATGAGTTGAAAATAAATTATTTTACATGCATCTCAAGCAACCTGCCTAAGGAAAATGGGTATTTTTTTCTAAATTGATCTCATATGCTACCAAAATACATTTTAGTATCATGATTTGTCCTGCTTCAAGGTCAAAATCAGCTCAGCCCTTGCTACAGTTGTCCACTCCTGATCTATATTGATAAACAAATTCAAATCTTACTTCTCCATATGTGGGGTAAAAGTTTGAATTCAACACAGTATTCTTAATTATATTCTCATCTTCCTTACAAAGTTCTGGGGCAGTACTTTTTTTTTTCATTTCAGGAGCGACTTGAGAAACTGCATGTCGCTTCTGGTGTGAGAGAGTTTGCCATCTGCAAGGACATTGACCAGGAGATACCCAGACGTTTTATCATCCTGTGGGAGGCTTCTCTCATGTCCCCGCATGAGAAGCTGGAGCTGACACATGGGAGCTCACCCTGCTCTCTGTACTAATGGACCATTGAATCTCCAAATTAGGAATTACAGTTGTAATTTGGAATTATAGTTGTGGGCCTCAGGCTCACAGACTTTCTTCTTCTTTTATGCTTTCACTCAGCAGTTGGCATCCTTTTAGTGACACAGGCAGAAATCAACACTACATATGTTTATTTTATGTCATTGCTGAGGTTGGCGGACTTCAGCAGAACATGTCATCACTTTGCACTTGGCTACAGCATCATAGCCACATGCTTTTGCAATTCCTGTGTTCTCATCCAGACAGTCTGGGTTAAAGGGAAGTTATTGTTGCTATTGTTGCCCATTTGTTGTCATTTTGATGTAAGGACAATCTATGGCTATTGTCACCAGGAAATGTGATAAGAAATCGCAGAATATGTATGGATAAAGAAATAACATCTGGAAACAGTCACGTGTGATGACATCTAAACTGTTTCCATACACATTTTCTATAGAACAGTATAGCTAACTGAATTAGTAATTCACTTTTAGACAAAATAATGAGGAACCAAATTACAAGACGTTGCTTTGTTGTAATTTATAACACTTTCAAGAAAACAAAAACAAAATGTCCCACATAATTAATAAGATAAGATTTTTGTAAGGTTGAGATTGACAATACTTTTTTATTTTCACCAAAATATACAGGCTACGTCAAATTAACAAGATGCGTGCAAAGAAACAGGATATATTGTATGCTGACTCTTAATTTCATGCAAACATTGATGGGGCTTGAGTTAACAATGAACAGTGCAATAAAAATGTTGACACAGTGTGCAACAGCAATAAGAAAGGCAAAGTCCATGCAAAGAAACATTAGGAAGGTGTTCACAAAATAAAATAGTCAGCTCTTCTAAAAACCTGTGGTAGAACCCAAGATGGAATACCATGTATAGTTCTGCTTACCACACATCAAAAATATTGTAGAACTAGGAAAGATGCAAAAAAAAAAAAACCCTGCAAAAATAACACATTGTATTGCAGCTATGGGCAAACCCAGGCCCAGGACCAGATGTGCCCCCTTGGGCTCGTTTCTCAGGCCCTCTTCTCTCTCACCTTCCTTCCTTTTCTCTTCCCTTCCTCCTTCCCTCCCTCCCTTCCTTATCTCCACCCTTTAATCCTTTCTTTTTTCCCTCCCTCCTTCCCTCTCACTGTACCCTTCCTTCCTACCTCCCCCCTCCTTCCATCCTTCTCTTCCCTCTTCCTACTTTCCTCCTGGGGGATATTTAGCTAGGAGAAGAGGTGGTTGAGAGGGAAAATGCGAACCATGTTTCAAGATTTAAAATTGTGCCCCATTGAGGAGGAGGGAGGGGGAAAACTAACTTTCTGCTGCTCTAGAGACCAGGGCACAAGGGAGCAATGGTTTCAAATGGCAGGGAAAGAGGTTCAACTGAAAAGATTAGGAAGAACTTCCTGAGAGTAAGAACTGTTGGTGAGTGGCACAGGTTGGCTGGGAGTGTGGTGGAGTCTCCTTCTCTGGAGGCTTTTCCACAAAAGCTGTCTATTGGGAGTGCTTTCATTATGCCTTCTTGCATGGCAGAGGGTTGGACTGGATGGCCCTTGGGGGTCTCCTCCAGCGCTAGGATTCTAGGATTATCATGAGTAGACAGTATGGGGTCTAATGGATACACTTTTTCCTCTCCCATCCACCATCTCATCCTGATCAAGGCCGACCCTTTTGGGATCCGACTATTTCCTGTCTTTCCTTCACTTTCTGCCTCCAAAAGAGAAGAGGAAAGGGAGGAAAGGGCAGGGAAGGGACTTGGGGAGAGCTCCCTTCCTTCTCGTCCACCCACCCCGCTCTAGCCCACCATGTGGTCCCCAATTTAGAAAGTTTTCCCATGTCTGGTGGATTTTTTTACCTAACAAAAAAGTCGATAACAGAGACATGGTAATCATATAAAATATGCATTATCTGGAGAAAGACAATACCCCCTCCCCCCAATTAGAATGTATTAGGGTCATCTGCTGAAACTGATTGGTTAAATATTTAAGACAGATAAAAATAAATACTTTTTTTTTTTGCAAAGAACAAAGTTAAACTAGGCAACTATTTTCTAAAAGATATAGCAATAGCCACCCACTGAGTTATTTTTAAATGTAGATAAAATAAACTGATGGCACATAAGGCTATAAATGACCATGAGATACTTGCTAGGAGCACTCCTCTCAGTGCTGGGTGTTAGAAGTTCACAGGAGGAAGTAACTAATGTTCTCCAGACCAAATTGTGTGTTTCTCATGGTAATTCCGCACCAAGATGCTAGTTACACATTTTCTGTCAAATAGGCATAATTAAATATTGACTCAGACCAAAGTCTAATATATTTTTGAGTACTTTTGAAATATATCAAAATTCAATATATCATTTACCTTCTGTAAACCAGACAGCCCATGCTATTGATCTCTGTGTCCAGACTGAATCTCCGAAAGTCCTCCCAAGCATCTTTGATGGCTGTGGCGGCCATTATAACACAGATCGGGATCACAGCTATCCCTGGTTCAAATGCATTGAGCACAGGTATGAAATTGAGTGCTACGATAGCCACAAAGTAAAAATTGGCAAAACGATGAAACTGCTCAAAGAGGTTTTTAGGGATGAAAGACAGGAGGGTGTATTTTGTAGTCTTAATTTTGTTGCCCTCATAATGTCGATTTGGATTTTCTTTCCACTTGCCTTCAAAGGGCAGGTTAGAAACAATGGCCCTCTTTGTTTCTTCTTCCTTCCTTCTCCCTCTCCTCCTTTTCACAGGTTCTTCAAGCTCAGAGTCTGAAGGTACACTCGGGAAGCACCGTCCTCTGAACCAAGGTATGTCCCTCGGGAATTTCATTGAGCGCATTTCCATGACATCTTCCTGCTCCTTAAAAGTTTGACTTTGCTGTACAGAGTTTGGAAATTAAGGGTAACCTACGCCAATTGATTTGCTGTACAGCTAAGTGCCGGGCTGAGTTGAACGAGACTAATTGCTTTCACTTGCTTTAAGTCAACACCTGCCGGAACGCAGACGTCAGAGTTGCACATACAAAGTTGCACATCCTCTTATAAACTGGTTTCCCTGTACTCGGAATGAATGCTCCCAGGTCCTAGTGCTTGCTCTTTGTAGCGATGAGTGAGGAAATTCTTCCTCACATGCTGAATTCCAAAGAAACTTCCCAACTTTCACATACAAACCAGGAACCATTCTTTGTCATCTAACTTGAATCTCTCAGGTATATTTTAATATGCACTGCTTTGTAATTGTATCCACAAAAGACTGCTTACTTCTGCATTTACAGCAGTATATATGTTTTTAAAAATCCACCTGTCGTGTTTCCAGGGAAGACATCCATGGGTACAGAAACAAGTCCATATGCTGAATTGAAAGTTGTATTACTTAGTATGCACTTTCATATTTTTGTTCATTTTTCACAAGATACTCAAGTAACCCAGTCACTGGAAAAATTCCTCCATATTTTAGTTTCTACTTTATGTGCACATGAAGCAGGGAGCAGAGAAGAGGAGTGAAACACATAGCTGGGAAAGAGCAATTGCATAAGGATTTAATGAATAATTCCCAACAGTTTGGCAATATGAGGGCAGGGAGTCAGCTATTTTTGCAAGGCATAGCGTGAGAGGAAGAATGGTGCCAGGCAGGAATAGCTATTTCTATTCAACAATCTAGATAGAAATGCCAATTCAATGGAATTTTACTAATGGGATGGGTATGGTGCCCAAAGATTTCAAAACATCTAGAAGAATCCTTACTACCTAAAATGTTTGAAAGATGTCAACATCTGCTTACCCTGTGGCAATTGAGAAAGCATATAGGAGTCTGTGTTGTGTAAACTGATTCAAAACTGAACTCAGAAAACAAAATTATTTAAAATAACACAAACCACAACAAGTTTCAGTTCACTCCCAATACAGTTCTAAATATATCTTTGAGAATGTGACAGGTTGCAAATCCTGTAAAATCTGCTTCCATACTGCCGAGTTCCCTCTTCTCCGGCTTGATGGCACACACTGAAAATGTGTGCACATGATAAAAAGGTTTCCTTAAAATCCACGATCGACAGAGCTTATCCTTATTTTATAATCGCAAAACAGCTGAGGAGGGATGGAAGTTGAGGGAACCAAATGGAAGCAGAAAAGGAAAGCAATTCCCGTGAGACATCATACCCTTGTTTTCATATTTCTTAAATTAAGCAGAGCTTGAATTTACACACCAGCATGACAAGCAAGTGACCCTAAAGGGAAATGGGGTTCAAGAGGTCAAACCTAAAGGAACCAGGAAGGTGAGGAGAGACAATGACAGGAAATCATTATAAATGTATAGGCTCAATCCTATAAAGCCCTAAACGGTTCTGGCCCAGTTTACCTGTCTGAACGTATCTCCCTCTACAAACCTTCAAGGACTCTTAAGATCATTGGGAGAGGCTCTGCTCTCGGTCCCACCACTCTCGCATGATTGGTGGGGACAAGAGACAGGGTCTTCTCTATGGTGGCTCCTCGGCTGTGGCACTCCCTCCCAAATGATATCAGATCTGCCCCCTCTCTCCTGGGATTCCGAAAAAAACTCAAAACCTGGCTCTGGGGTCAAGCCTTTGAGCAATAGATATGGTGATTTGAATGTGATTGACTGATGTGACCGGCAATGGACTGATCTTGGATCGCGATTTTAAACCAGCAATATTTTAGAATTATAAATCTTGAATGTTTATAACTGTTTTAATGGTTTTAAAATTATGTTTGTTAATTCAATGTCTGGCATCTAATGGTTGCCTATTTTAAGTTGCCCTGAGTCCTCCCGTGGGGCTGAAAAGGACGGGGTATAAATGCTGAAAATAAATAAATAAATAAATAAATAAATAAATAAATAAATAAATCTGCATGTGTGCACTTTGTTATATTGACATCAGCACTTATGAGGTGCAGTGCATCTCGGATGGTCAATAAGGTATGGATGTCTTGTACCTTTTGTGGTTCCTTTCAATCCACATTATCTAATTCTTTCTGGGTGCCATGAAACCATTTTCCAAGACTAATGGCTCCACAAGGACTCTCCTTAAAATGTCAGGGGTTTTAATCTCACTTTCTTATTCTGGATTGAGCGTCTGTCTGGAAGGGCCTATAGTTGTCTTACATTTCCTGTTGTAGGACTTCGCCAATTCTGTCTTTTTGATGACTGGAAAAGGAATTTCAAAGTGAAACATTGTTTCCTATTTTCAGCTCTGTTTTTGTGAGGACTATTTTCATGAGAAGGCAAATTATCATATCATTTTTCCAAGGGATATTTCTAGATTAAAATAATTCTTGTGTTAAACTGCTTAAGTTTTTGTTCCTTGGGTCGCATAAAATATGACATAGTAGACAGTAAAGGGTTTATTTTAACCTCTATTTTAACCATTATCTTGGAAAATGTTCTTTTGTTCTTTTATAGTTTGTTTTTGTATAGAATCTCACAATCCCCAACCATTAAGATCTCTTGACAATTTCTCATATATTGCTCAGTAAATGCTTTCTGTTGTGTGCAATGTTTTGAATTCTGTTTGCAAATTTGATCTTTAATTCAAAAAGCAATCAAATTTCTTTTTAAATGTATCAAACCAGGCATTCGCATAAATAAGCATATGAATTGCAATGATTACAAATATTAAACAAAAAGTTGATATGCGACAATTACGTAATGTTCCAATAAAATAATCAATTTTAATTGGGTAGACAAAACAAAAGTCAAAAGTTGGGTTTTTTTTGTCTACTGTTCATCTTACTTAGCTGGCAAACCCACTACACCTGGGCCCCACAATCCTAGGCCCCCCAGCTAGAGTCCTTTGAGCCCTGAAGATGAAAACGCATAATGGCCACAAATGAAAGAAGCAGTTCTCTGGACATGCAATAAAATTCTGTGATTAAGTACTGCAGGTGTACCATAAAAGTCTTACACTGAATCACCCTTCAAATACTGGGAAGTAGATATTTATTTTGCAGGAAAGAACAATGTAAAACAAAAGAAAAGAAATCCTAACAAAACACCAGAATGGATTTCTAAGAAGTTTACAAACTTCTCTTCTGTAGACTATTTTTGTTATTCTCGTTGCAACCATATGTTGATGGAACAAACATTAAAGTATAATTTAATGAATCACAATGATATAATACTTTTAGACTTACACATTGTATGCTTTCATTTTAGAACTGTTGATCTGTTGATCATATCTATATCGCCTATAATCTTCAATGCCATCCTTAATTGCGATAACTAAAAGTACAATGACCAATGGCAACATTGTGATTTCTCTGTGGAAGACTTCCAATTGTGGGAACCAGTTGATGATCACCAAAAATAGGAAATAGATGTTGGCTAATCTGAAAGAAGAAGAAGACATGCTATTAATAGAACTTTAACATTTAACTGGCATTTCCTAATTACTCTTTAATTTGTATATGAGAATGAGTGTTTCCTGCAATCTTTAAATATGTTGGTGAAGTTCAGATTAACTGGATTTCATGGTTTTTCATCTAAACTATGGCTGGTTTTTATATCTGTTCCAGAGCCTAAAGTTCCAGAGCCTAAAGTTTGTCTTTGGCCAGCAAATCATGATACAATACCACAATGTGGGACCTCTTCACACGGTTCAAATTTTGGTGGCAGCAACGGGTTTTTATTTACTTTAGCCAAAGAGCCCAATGGCTCCCATCAGACCCCAGAAAAGTACTTCAAGGGCGGCTCAGTGGCTGAACTGCTACCAACACCCTGTCACCACAAAATTGCTGATGGTGGTTGATGGGCAGCTCCCCATCTTTCCATTAGGAAAAATGGGTCGAGCTGACTCAAGAAGGCTTCCCCCCATGTTATGAAGACACAACAGTGCAGGACATGAGGCAATTGGTCCCCATGACCCCTGCGCAGGTGCCACTGGTATGCAGAGAGGCTGGCCAATTTCGGCGGTGCCTGTGACTAGGTAGCTGCAAATACTTTGCAAATAACTATTTCTTCTATCTTGTTTGTTAGTACATTTCAGAGCTTTTTCTGTTGTGATGTAAAGATGGGCCCACAGACAACTGGTTGTCCAGCCGTGCAACCAGAATTATTCCAGTTTTGTACCCCAACTGGACCATAAGCAGTTTGAAAAGGTTCATCAAAGAGAATTTAAACCTGACATGCCATTTCCCACTCTACTATTTCACCCTAAACTGGCCTATAATATTCCAGGTCCTATGTATTTAATGAGGGCTACTTCACAACCAATGTTACGATAGGACCACTTTCATTGAAATAATTATTAATAACAGGTTTAACTGAATAACCCTTCCTACTCAGCATATTAAAACTGCTCAGTGTCAATTAACATGTAATAGCGAACTACTGAGTGAATAACAATAGGCATAGGTCTTAAGGCCTTGTAGCTACTCAGAGAAGTTCTTCTGGATGACAAGGTCAAGTACAATTCCTTTGTTACAATGATCCAAAAAACAACTCAGAAATACTTGGTCAGATTCATCCCAAGCTTTCCTTTACCTACTGTATATTCTAACAAGCCTCTCCACAGTTTCATTGCCTGTGTATTTCTATAATACCATTGAATAGGAAAATCCCAATTAGGGATGGAATTGATATTTGCAATTATTCATTCCCAAGCTTAAAATTGGTTTCCTAACAGCTGGGAAATCTCACTGGGAGGAATAATAGATGAGCCAAATTTAGGACATTTTTCTTCAGCTATTTGAAAACCCTATGAAATCCATGGGGTCACCAATAGGTTCACGGGCTACCTAAAGGCACAGACACATAAGTTTGAATGTCCCAAAGTGTTGTGCAAATTTTATTTGGTGAAGAAAAGCATGTGTGTTTTATGTACCCCCAATCTTTAACAAAACAAAAACAAAGCATGTTTTTTCTCAGCACTATAATACCTTAGCAATGCTTTGGGACATTAAAATACAATAGTCTTACTTATCCAACATAAACGGGTCACGAGAACGTTGGATAAGCGAAAATGTTGGATAATAAGGAGGAAT